GGTGAGTCCAGAGGCCAGTCCCTAGATGTCAGCAGAGCAGCTGGCCCTTGCAGTGGGCATGCAAGGAAGACACAGCAGTGGTAACAGGCTTATTCTCACACATGCACCACAGCCTCGGCCTGGATCAGCACAAGGACTACCTGGGTGTTCTGCACTTGCTCCATGGCTGATGGAGCATACACCTTGGCTGATAGGCAACTGGGACTTCATGCTCTGGTCTGCCTCCAGTTTCAAGGACTTCTAACTTAGGAAGATTCAAACCAATGGTGAAATTCAATTTTTTTACTACCAGTTCTGTGAGCATGGCTTGGTGGGCATGGTGTGGCTTGGTGGGCGTGACTTGGTGGGCATGGCAGGAGAAGGATACTGTAAAATCCCCATTCCCTCCCAATCAGCTGGGACTCAGAAGGCAAAGAATAGATGGGGGTGAGGCCAGCCAGAGGTTGCATTTACTGGTTCTCCGAACTATTCAAAATTTCCATTACTGGTCCTCCGAACTACTCAAAATTTCCGCTACTGGTTCTCCAGAACCTGTCAGAACCTGCTGGATTTCACCCTTTGTTTAAACTTAAAGCAAGACAAGGCCTGTGCAATTCATTGGTCTCTCTCTTGAGATATCCCACATTGAACTGTCCCATGGTGAGTTGACTGTGGTGGGTCAACTTATCTTACAGCAGAATGTTGTAAGTGGCAAGTCAGCTGTGTCAAGCTGTCTTGAACCTAATAGATGATGGTAGAAAAATGGCTTGCAAAAGTTATGGATACTGGGGAAATTGCCTAGAAAAATAGATATACTTATAGGAAGTGTGAGATATTAAAACCAAATTTTTATGCTCACAATTCCAAAAACAAGTCTGGTTCACAATTCAAAAGTTTTTATTGCAAAGAAATTGAAAAAGCGGTTGCAAGTGTGGCCTCCCAGACTCTTCCCAATGGCTTGAGTACAAGGAGCACAAGGACAGACTTCAAGTAATACAATTTATATCTTTCTAATCATTACGCGTGAAGCCTAAGAAGAAGCCCTCCCCATTTCCAAAATCATTCTTTGAGGTTAATTGGCATTTCAAGAGGACAGCATGACTTTTCCTGCAGACCCCTTTATCTTATCTGTGCCACTTTGTTATTTCATTCTAGGCGGGGATGTTATCATCTCACCAATTGGTGTCCTTGTCTGTATTTAAATAGTAAAGGAATTTTAGCAAGTCATCCTGTATTGACTTTACTGCTTTGTGCTTAATTTACAATCTAGAAAAACAGCGCCAAGAGTCTTACACCTTTTTGTTACATTTTACCCTTTATATGAAAGAGTAACTTATTATTTATTTATTTCCTTCAGAAGGCCACATAAATATGTGAATAAGTATTTATCCACTTATCTGCCAAATATCAAAATTCAACATTCTCTTATAAAATGAGATGTTAATGCAAATTAAATTGACAGAACCATCCAGGTTCAACCCCTTGAGCAGGGGAGGGGGTTGGACTAGAAGACCTCCAGGGTCCCTTCCAACTCCGTTATTCTGTTATCTGTTATGTCTGAGTCACTCAGAAGTAGAATCTGTTATCATCACAAAAAAAATGTGTTCCTTCTGTGCAATCCTGTGAATGCTTCCTTAACTTCCACTGAATTTAATGGGATTTCTTTCTAAATGCACTTGCACAAAGTTGAGCATTTCGCATATAATTGTGTGAGTTATTAATATGTTAATACTAAACTATTAATACTAATTGTTAAAATTGTTGCTAAAACCCGGTGTGTTTACCTTCCACTGGTATAATTTTAAATTTATCCCATAAGCAAATTTGTTTAAATTATTTCAATGATTTAAGTATGTAATTATTATTGATTGCTGCATATGACCAAATCCATGTATGTCAACCAAATCGGTCTGTATGCCTTTTTTAAAATAAACTTGCACAAAGGATTGTGTTTTAATTTTCAGTTATGTACATGTCACAGAAAATATTTTTATAGTGTAATTCAAATTTGTTAGTGCATAAATTGTTTCCAGGTGTTTTATATCCTTACAGATTTCCGGTCCATTGCTTCATGGATATTTTCAAAGGACGGCAGTTATGTTGCTTTTAGAACAAACATTGCAACATTTTCTCAATCCATTGCAAAATCATTTGTATTGGCTTATAATGTCACTTGTCAGGGAGAAATTACTCATCCCTGTACTTTGGGAGATCCACAAAAGCTAAGTAGGGCAGCTACTTTTATCATTCACATTTACCATTCAGTGGGGGGGGGGGGAGATTTCAGTAGAACAGTGCCACAGTTCATTATAGGACATCTTAAAAGGACATGCAAAACAGAAAGAGAAAACTTCTGTGAACAAGAAAATATATTTCCACAAAAATATAGTGATGTCTTTATTAGAGTACAAAGCTGGACATTGATTTTGCCTCAATGTTCTGTAGATATTGTCAAATGAGGGACAATATCTACATGCACAATCAAACATGTGATGTCAAAGGGTTAAATTTTCTTCATAGAATCATGGAGATGACTAATTACAGTTGAAATTATGCAGAGTTTCAAGTCTTTTTCTGCTTGGAAGAGGACAGAACCTTCTTCATACAAATAGACAAAAAACTATGGTGCTTCCGCTCCACTGTAGATCCATATAGTGGATACAAAGAAATATAAATGATCTGGGAACAGGATTTCTGGATAGGATGAAGTCATCCTTTGTTTACAGTTCCTATTGCTGTTATCAAGACTGGAACAGCAGTCTTTTCTTCAACAAAATAATGGCTGGACCATAAAGAAAAAAATGGATGGCCTTATTTTAGTGTTGATTGCCACAATGTACTCCCTGAGCTGTGATCACTCTAGTGGGGTATTACCATTAAAACCCATATAAATCCAGATTCCAACATGTTGACGAGATCATGATTTTTCTTCTCCATTTTTTACAGCCCCTACAATTGCACTCAATAATTTGCAGGTGGTTTATGTGTTATCTTTTTAATTAGAAATGACTTGGAAAGCAGTTAACATGTACAGATATTCATACCATTGTGATGTCATAGTATTCTTCAGCTTCTTAATCTATTAATGAAACAAATTTCTCTAGGCTTTTATGACAGTTTCTCCACAATTAACATTTTGGACTGATGCACAAGAAGAATCTCTCTAAGAAAGATTTGCTGTGGGAAGGCTGCTTGGTTATTGTTGTTGTTGTTGTTGTTATTGTTATTATTTTATTTGGCTAAACTGAGTACCTTATGCCATAATCACTTGAAAATAAGTGCTGTGATTTCATATCACTTTGGGTGTGTGAAGAATCTAAACAGGGATACAAAGCCTTAACTTACTAACACATCTTGCCATCATTTTGCCTATCTCTGTGTTTCCATGATGGTTGCAGTATCACATTGGTTATTAAAGAGAGATCACTCTTTGGTATGCTTTTTTTTAGTATGGAATATATTTTTAGTATGTAATATTTTTTTAATATGATCAGAAAGGTCAACACTTTGGTGGTTCGGATCCCTAATACAGATCTCCTTTGTGAGCAGGGGATTGGACTAGATGACCTCCAAAGTCCCTTTCAACTCTGTTACTGTTACTTTGGGCAGTGTTGGGCTTCAGGATTTAGTGACTATGGTCTACACAACAGATTTCCTGATATTTTGTCAGCAACTCTGTCTGCATCCTCGGGGTAACATAGGATGCCAGCCACAGTTGCCAGTCAATCATCAGAAAATCTGTTATCTGAACCACAGTCACTAAATCTTGAAGCCCAGCAGTATCCAGCAGATACCCAATATAAGATCACACCATGGAGATATTGTTTGCTTCTTAGAAGCAGAGGGAAGCCATGATATTTTTCATTTTCCTACCATTATTAAGACTGCATGGTTACATGTTCATGCCGTATTATACTAAATATGCATAAAACATGGGAAACAAATGGGAAGTCATAGCGTAAGAGAAGGGATGTGGAATTAGAGGAAGATGAACCAAGGGAAGCAGATAAGGAAAGCCACATTATGCTGTCACAATGAATTTCCACCCTTTTGCACTCAGCTTGCATACAAATACAAAAAGGGCTAAACTTGCATGATGCTTCATACTGTTTCTATCCTTTTAATGAAAGCCTCCAATTTTGCAGACGTCTCTGATTACAGAAGTTCTTACCTCACTTACAAATTCATAGAATAGAGCAGAGCAGAACAGAACAGAACAGAACAGCTGGAAGAGATCTTGGAGGTCTTGTACCCCAACCCCCTGCTCAAGCAGGAGACCCTACCATTTCATACAAGTGACTGCCCAGTCTTTTCTTTAAAACCTCCAGTGATGGAGCACCCAGAACGTCTGAAGCCAAACTGTTCCACTGGTTAATTGTTCTCACTGCTAGGAAGTTTCTCCTTAATTCCATGTTGCTTCTCTCCTTGATTAGTTTCCACTCATTATTTCTTGTCTTGTCCTCTGGTGCTTTGGAATACTGAATGATAGTTCCTTTACTCCCCCTTATGCATGAACTCTCAAATAATAATAATATCACTTGTCCATTAAGAAAATGCAACAGAAAGGGTGAATTGGGGGGGGGGGGTGTCACAAAGCCCAGAGAATGCCTTTTTGGACACAAACCTCACTAGAGGTGGGATGGATTTTGATTCCATACAAATGATACATATGTACAACTGGGTGAAAAATTGCCTAGAGTCTGGGACAAAAAGACTTTTGCCTGAAACAGTAGAAAATACCCACCAAAATTCTCAGTTAGTTCAAAGCTTATATTATCTTATTGTATATTTAATATTTTTAGCTAAAACTAAAGATGTTTGCAAAACATCATCAGAAGAGTTTCACCATACATCCTATATAGAGATAAAAGGATGAACTCGGTGCTTATAAATGTTTAATTCACATTCCAAATCACTGTAAGGAATTTAACTTTATTGCTTTACTTATGCAGGCATCAGTTGCACGACAGTCCTATCCATTCTTATTTTCCCTCATTTTTTTAAAAAAAAAACTTGCTTAGGATCTGGACCACGTACAATCACACCTGGAAGAAGTGAGGTTCTTTGATTTATTCAGTTACAATGAAGAAGCGGGGGCTTGGCAATGTTTCATGTGTAACAATCCTGACAAGGCAACAGGTAAGAGATTTTTCTGCAGAAGAACTGAGTGATATAAACAATACAGATTCAGAATCTAATAAAGGGTGTTCTGCATAAAATATCTGAATTATGCAATCATGTTATTAACAGTGAGCCTCTTTGGTATAATTAAGGTTTACCATTTTGTCTGAAATGGTATAGGGTTTCCTGCCTGAACAGGGCTTAGACTAGAAGACCTCCAAGATCCCTTCCAACTCTGTTATTCTGTCGTCTCCTGTCCTATCTTATTCTATTCTATTCTGTTCCTTTGTCTTGCTTGGAAAATGTGGTTCTACTTGACCTAAGCCAAGGTTAGGTCATTATCATCATCATCATCATAAAAAAAGAACAAATTAAGTTAAATGTGACATTGAAAATGAAATCTTTTTGGATAGTCTCTTAATATTCACAGTCTGCCAGATCATTTCTAAACTTGCACGTTTACCTGTGATTTCAATAGTGAAATTTGGCCATTTCCATATGGCAGATTTCAATTGTTGACAAGATTTGTTATTTTACAGATCAGTAAAGGGTATGCCATGCGGTTGAGTAAATGAAACATATAAATTAGAATGCTTCATTATTGCCAACTGAACAGAATTAGAGATGGTTGGTTATTTTGGGATTCTGTCCAATTCACTTCTCTTAATGACAGAAAAGAACAATTTCTACAAGCAGAATCAGAAGAGTGCAATTCTCTTTCCCTCCCATAGCCTTTTCAATGCCTCCATAAGAACAGATTAGGATGGAGGGTATTATTGTAATGAGAGAAATTATGTCATAGTATTCAATACACAATATAATAGAATTCTGTATTGAATACTAATATAATTATGAAGTTTCAGGATTTACAGAGTGTGAAAATATAATGGCCCATTCAAACATCAAATCTAAAATTTGAGATTCCATATTTGACAAATTTGATGGCTAAGGCAATTCCACCACACTGGAAGAAATGCAGTAAATGCCCTGGTACTGTCCTTTAAATAAACATGTAAGACGTGTTTATTTTAACATTCTTGATGCTGCTATTTTACTTTTTTAAACATTGATAGCATATTGTTTACATAAACTTAATACATTTTTGCCAAGCAAATCAAGAATTTTTGTTTCGTTCTGTAGTTTTTTTAAGCGATTAGTTTCCTTGTCGATTTCTGTGTCTTCTGCGTAAGACCTCAGTAAAATGGAATTGTACTAATTATTCTTTGGGGCCAGTATGTTTGTGCTGGAAACAATTCACTATTTTGGGCAGATGGAGTTATGAGAAGTAAAACAGTTGCCAGTTAAAATGACTTGCCATCTGAAGATGTGAAGCCATTGAAATTATTCAGCAGGATGGAAACAGCTGGCAATTAAGGAGTTTGGACAACTTTTTAATGCTGACTGTTGGCTATCATCTAGAGATGAAAACTTTTTTAAAAAATTCCACTAATGTCATACAGCCTTGTATCTGTTAAGTGCTTTTTATTGTATTTCAACTGGCTTCAGAATTTATTCTATGACATTTCCAAAGGCAAATTTATTCATTTTCCTCAGTAGCACATCTGTTTAAGACTATGATCTAGACAGAGTTATTATTTGGTTAAAGTGTTGTTTTTTGCAATGCCTAAACAAAGTAAATTAAAACTGAAATCATAACCACACCAACCAGAAGAATGTATTATTGATATTAATAAGATTAATAAGAATATAAAGAGTTACAGTAAAAGTAGTGATGTTATTCTTTTGTTCTGAAACATATAATATGTTCAAACTTTATAATATTGTGGCATATTTTGATCCTATTGCCCTTTCTTTACGATGTATACTAAAAGTTCTTAAGAGTCTGCACAATCAAATTCACTTTAAATCTTTTCCCTTCTATTTCTTTTCTCTCTGCCCCCCCCCTCAATTCTACATGATACATCCCAATTCTAAATTTTTGTATGCTCACAGATTTATTTTATCCCTTTATATTTTATTCTTCTGCTGATATTTTACCCAGAGTAGAAGTAATAGCTAAAAATACATGTAGAAAGCAGTAGAAAACTAGTATGTACAGTATTGGTCCTACATGCTTAATTAAGTTCTGCTTCATTGATCAGTGAAATGTTTGTTGACATAACTGCCGACAATATTCATAGTTACACCAATTTTATTTATGCCCCCCGTTGTTTCTATGCATTACAAATCAACTGCACTGGCTTTTTTGAAATGTTCTGTAGCTAATCGCTTTTGGCAATCTATGGAAGCAACATAGTATGCTTTGTACATGCTCATAGGAAATATTAACTGTGATGTCTTTGGTGCTTTCTGACCTTGATGGTTTTCTTGTGGATGTTTCATTAACAAATTAAGTAGCATGAACAGTGCGAGAAAGCAGTGTGGTTTGGAGTCAAGGAATACGGTATTTCCATAGACACTGACAAGGCCAGCCACTAGTTTTCAAAAATAAGAGCAAACCCACTGACTTTTAGCACTGACAATATAAGTAATGAAACATCTGCAAGAAAACCATCAAAATCAGAGAGCATCAAGGACCACACAGTTCAACCCTGAGTTACAAATATTCTGTTCTATTGGTAATTGATCAACTGCTTCTCGGTAACTGTGGTTCTTTGAATGTGATCAGAAATATCATCCCTCTTTAGGTAACTATTCTTGGGATATTTTGGTTTCATGGGTGCATGCCCATAAAAAAGGTGGCCTCCCCTATTTTTCCCAAAACTATTCAGCCCTAGATAATCTGATGGTGACCATGAAGATACAGGAATGCCCACATGGAGGCAAGCACAAATGAATGGAGAAGGAGGGTCAGTGATAAGCAACATATTCTTTTTTCTGCAGTTCAAATGCCTTAATATATTGATTGTATATTAAAGTCCTAATATTGCTTTTGCTTTTGCAGATCTGGATTCTTAACTTCTTAGTAGGTTGTCAACATCATGAATTTCCTAAAGAGCATGTGACGGCTGCTTTTAATAGTTCTTAGGAACAAAGTTCAGCTAAAAAGCCATTTAAGAGATCTAAATGTATATAGTTTTATCAATACCTGTCTCCCTCTGTTATTTAAAAGTAACCAATGAGAGATAGAGATAGCAGAAAACACTCTAATGTAGAACATACTGAATCAAATGTTTGACATAAGAAAACAGACTATATCAGGAGTTTTCTTTGCTCATTTCCTGCTGTCATAGCCAAAAATGAAATAGATTTATTTTCTGAATAGTCATCTGCCATATGGAGAGCATTTTTTTTTTGCAATCAACTAGAATCCTTGCTCTTAAAATATATTTTAGAGACCATGTATATTCGTCAACATGAGTCTTTCTGGATATGTTGTACTACAATTCCCATTATTCCTAGCCAGGACATCTGGAAGGGCCTGATAAGACTTTGATCTTCAGCTAATAGTTTATTATTCAACTTACACCACCAGCATATCTTTTATTTGTTTATACTACATATCTCATTCTCATAAGTACAAAAATGCTATGTAATATCTGTTTAAAAATAGCTTATCTATTTAGTTATGTATCTTTTGCTATGGACATTAGAGCAGGGATAAGAAGGAGAGAACATGAGATTCCATTTCTGGTGACAGTTTCTTTTGATATCTATTTAAAAGAATTTTTTTTTTAATAAAACACACACACACTATTAGAATCTTACATCCTGTTTCATCAGTTTAATTATGAGATAACCTGAAGACAATTTGGACATTCCATTTACACATACAATTCCATTCATACCATACTTACTCATCTATGCATTAAATACACATCCCATTCATATTCCTTTTCCTCAGTCAGAAACACAGATTTACCATTATTTATAAGGATTAACAAGATCACTGTGCCTTCTCTGCTTTTCCTCCCATCCCTACATTTTTCCTCATACCTATTACAACTGAAAGAATTAATTAGGGTTTTCTAATGATACTGTGGGGGAAAAACTTTATAGTTGACCATGAAATACTTTTAGAAAATCCGATAATGTAATTTCTGTCTAATGTGAGTTTGGATTGAATCTTGCAACAATTTACATTTCAGCATTTTCTTTACCTAAACCTATAACTATATAGTGGTACCAATGAAGGCTAATATTTGTAGCTCAGGGTTGAAATCAGGGGTCCTTGGTGCTCTCTGAGCTTGATTGTTTTCTTGCAGACGTTTCATTACTAAAACTAGGTAACGTCATCAATGTTAGACTAACATTGGTGATGTTGCCTTATTGGGTAATGAAGTTTCTGCAAGAAAACAACCAAGCTCAGAGGGCACCAAGGACCTGTCAATATATAATGGCTTAGTAAACATATTGTAAATGTGAAAATAAGTAAAAACTATGTGATCTAAGTTAATTATACAATTCAATCCAAAGTTGGGTTGGGGGCAACAGAAGAATGGAATGGAATGGAATGGAATGGAATGGAATAGAATAGAATAGAATAGAATAGAATAGAATAGAATAGAATAGAATAGTTGGAAGGGACCTTGGAGGCCTTCTACTTCAACCCCCTGCTTAGGCAGGAAACCCAGACCACTTCAGACAAATGGTTATCCAACATCTTCTTAAAAACTTCCAGTGTTGGGGCATTCACAACTTCTGGAGGCAAGTTGTTCCACTGATTAATTGTCCTAACTGTCAGGAAATTTCTCCTCAGTTCTAGGTTGCTTCTCTCATTGATTAGTTTCCACCCATTGCTTCTTGTTCTATCCTCAGGTGTTTGGGAAAATAGTTTGACTCCCTCTTCTTTGTGGCAGCCCGTAAGATATTGGAACACTGCTATCATGTCTCCCCTAGTCCTTCTTTCCATCAAAAAAAAATCTTAAGCAGGTTCAGAACAAGAGGAGAGTCCACCAGAAACATCAAGATCATGCTCTAGATTGAGAAGTGAAACAGGGTCATCCTTGACGAAGGCTATGGCAAAATTCTTCCAAATTTTTACCAAGAGCTCTGCCTGGATATCTGCTTAGTGTCCATGAGCCAAGACTCATTCAAAGAAAACTTCACGGGGTTTT